TTTTTTTTTTTTTTTTTTTGAAAGAATGTGTAGTTGAAAAGTGGAAAAAAAATGTGAATCCCTATAATACATGTGATTGAAAATAATTTTAGAAAAAAATTTTGTACCAAACAAAGGCTTTTAAGGTCAAAACAAGGTAATAGTCATGATCTATTTTTGAACGCTATTAAATTTTATATAATCTAACTACAACATGGAGAGTATTTATTAGTGCTAAAAATGAATAAATCATAAAATACGAACTTGCTTAGGTGCGTTTGTTTCTCATTTTTTATCCATAAAAATGAAAAATATGACTGTTATCCATAACATGAAGCCATCAACTTTGAATTTCTATCTCTTGTATGGGATCCAATAACGACTATATTTATCATTCTTATTGTACAATAGTGAGAATCAAACGTGCCCTAAATGAAGCATATTTTGTGCTTAGGTGCTAGGTTTGACATTGATTCGTATCTCGTCTATTGATAACAAAAAACAGTACAAAAAGTGGACAGCGATCTTGCCTCCAAAAATTATAAGAGGGCATTAGTCTATAAACGTGAGAATCTACTCTAAATACGCGAGCATGTTGCAAAATTAAATTTAGGAGAAGCAACGACCATCGAAATATATGATATGACCTTGCCAAAAAAAACCAGAAATAAGAAAAAAGCCAACGACCATCGTACTCCTCGTGCTTTGTAGATTGAATTAATGTTTTCATATAACTGTTATTATGTACAATTTCTTATAAACAACTCACAAATTACTCATCATTCAATAATACAATAACTAAATCATATTCCATGATTTATAATCCGAAAAAATCACCATTCCGAAATACATTTTTTCCAAAAAAAAAACTCTTTAAAATGGATCCGTATTTAAATGTTACAGCACCGCTTTTCTGACCAAACTCACAGTTTCTGATCTTATTTGACAGCATTAGGCAACGCAATCACCATACATATTGTCTCCTTTGTATAATAAATATGTTTCAATTCACATGCACCTCTTTAATTGGCACAAACTAAAATGTAAATGTACACAGACACATCTTTGTTGAGTCAATTCAATCTCTGCACGTGCAACCACCTAGGGCGTGTTTTGATGACCGAATTGGCCGCCTGCCGGAGAACATTTTCAGGGCTGTAGAGACTCTGTTCCATTTAGTTTAAACTTTTTATGAATATTTCTATGATTCCAATATGATTTTCTGGAACACGATGAAACTAAAGACTGATATAGCAAAACTTAATCATCGATTCAAAGCAGCAGAAACCCCTAATAATATGAGAGTGATTTTTTCTGCAAGTTTATGATTGCAGTATTGAATAAGGCCTTTTTCTGATCTATTGAACTACAACTTTCTGATTGGAAAATGAAGAGAGGAATGAAGTTGAACTGCGGCTGAATAAAATCAGCGAAAATATGGTATGTTATTATTTGAAATGTTGTCGAAGCTCGCCATGCTGGGAGGGGAAGTGTACAAAGATGGAGCTGAAGACGAGGAAGAGACAACAGTAGCCGGTCGAGGAGGAGGAGGAGTAGGTGGCGGTGGAGCAGCAGTTGGAGTAGGAGGGGCTTGTGGTAGCTCAGCCACAGACACGGTTCCCGAGGAAAACAAAGCCGCAGAATTAGTTGAAGCAATTATAGTATTTGCAGCTTCTCCGTACTTATATCTTAGTATCTCAGCCCTTACTGCATTAAGTTCAGCTTCTAAAGTTTGAACCTGTTGTTGCAAAGCCGAAATTGCACCCATGCATCCATATACTGGATTCCTCAGCCTCACGTTTGCTTCGAAAACCAAACTGTTAGCTGCATCAACTCTTTGGGGCTCAGGCGCCTCCTAAATACCCATAAAAAGAAAATATCCGATGCAAAATTTAGAATTTTAGGTCGACTATGTGAATTCCTTTTTGTCACTTTAATCGAAATCATTGTTCTATCTACTCGAAGGAAACGCGCAAATGATAGAGGGTAATTACCATGAGCATCTTGGAGACATTGCTTGCACCAAAAACTTTGTGAACAGCTGCAAATTTCTGAGGTTCAAGTGGGGAAAAATAAGGAGAAAAAGGACATTCTTCTGCACATCTTCTTCTCAAAAGCTTACATGCCGCACAAGGTGTGACTGTGTTTAAACTTCCTGGAGGACCCAACATATGTCTCCTTACCATCACTGCATCTATCTCTCCTGTCATCGAATTCTCTCCAATCTCATCAAATCCTTCCCTAAGAAACAGTACAAGACAAAATCAAGAACAAAGAAACGACAAAAATTATTCGTGCTAGTAAAAATATTATTCTACTTTCATATTTTGATTACCTTATTCTGGACATCCGAGCCTAAAAGGTGAATCTTGAAGCCTCAAGAGGAGAGGAAAACAAAGAAAGAACAAAAGGGAAAAGGGTGCTTAAAAGAAGGGATATCTCTTAAATTAGGTAAGGTGTTCTTCATACGCAACAGACAAAATTATGATCAAATAAAGAGTCTAGTCGTGAGGTACTTCAGGGTTGCTTTTAATAATCAAGCAGACAAATGGAGATCAGTTGTTTCACATTGAACACCAACAGAGACGGGGAGAGAGAGAGAGAGAATGCCAGCTCTTTCAAGGGCTGCCCACGTGTGAATTATTGCGGAAATTGACTTTGGACAGCAACAATCTGACTTTGCAATTCACACATTGAAAAGCAAATGGTTTTACGTTTTCAAGTTGTGAAGGCAATGTCATGTTTTTCAAACTTTAAAGTTTACAAGTAATCAAAGATTTCATTCAGAGAATATAGCTTACTACTACAGTAAGATACCCGTTTTTCGTGTCGGTTTCTTCCTCTTTGATGATTTGATTTAGGGTTGAGACTTTTTAAGTTCTCAGCTCGATTTCAACCACCGAACAGCTCTTGTATTTTATTCAATTTTCAAAGGGAAATATATTTATTGCAAGTGGAAACCGATTCAAGTGGCGGCAAAGCATATTTAACCCAAAAAAAGAAAAAAAAACATAGGAATTTAATTTCACTCGGCAAGGAATAAAATTCCACCTTACTCGTCCAAAGACGCTGTTTAAGTTGCTAGAAATGGCCTTAATAATGTGAAGATAATTTAATTTTTTAAACACCCTCGTTATCCTTAACATGCTCCCACACGTTGTGATAGTTCATTTTGAGAAAATCAATCTTGTAATTCGATTGTTCATTTTTTAATGTTACATTATTGTTCATTGATTAGTTTATTCGGTTAATTTCATCTTCTTTTTTCGATAAAAATAAATTATTTCGATTCTGTGAGTGTTTCCATAAAATTTGCATCAATCGAGATATTGACATTTGATGAACAAGTTATTGATATTCTAATTGTTGATTCCACAATGAAGAATGTGTAACTCTGTCACGGTATATCAATGATATAGCTTCGTAAAATTTTATTTATTCGAGGTGGTTCAATTGTTTGGCAATCGAAATCCCTTCATTTGTACCATCCTTGGTTCCTAATTTGTTTTTATTAGGTAACCTAACTCGAATGTTAAATATAATGGAGGTTAGGCATGGTCATCTCTTCCAAGAGACGTACTCTCTCATGTGGCAATGAATTTTACACCCTAATGGTGGATAATAAAAAAATAGAAAATGTTATTCAATTGATTGAAAAGACGTTTTGATATTGTTTGGTATAAGACTATATTTAGTTAGGCTCGAATCGAATTAAATTCACGGTTTGTCATAGTTTATAATCCATTGGTAAACAAGGTCAACAAAATTAACGTCGTTTTGGTTGGTAATTTCTGTATAAACGAAGAAAATGAAACTACTTGTCATTTCTAAAAGAGTAGTTGAAAATTGAAATCAAGTCGTGATCAAGCAAGGCATTATTTTGTCGAATTAGTCTGCAAGTTTGGTTATTTAAATTTTACAAAACAACTGTAAAAAAAATACGATATACTTATTTATTTAATTTTTTGTATTCAAAATGCTTGCTCGTGTGCAAGTTATATTTTGTTATCCCCCGATTTCGAGGTCTAAAGAGGTTAGGCCACGTGGCATGCAGAATGGTCAACGAGGAGTCAGGAGGAGAACCAATAGGTCAGAAGCCCAAGTGAGAAAATGGGCCGAAGTCCTTAACCCAGCGGCAAATGCTTTCACACTAACAAGCATCTGCCTGAAGCACTTCCTCAAAGACGAGGCACAACTCAATCCGAGGTTCTTTCAGGCTCGTCCATAGCTCATGAAACTAACGCTGCCTCACAATAGATTCCAAAATCTTTTTGAATTGATTGATATGACGTCTGCAGTAAAGTGCATGTAGTTTTAATCAATATCCGCCTACTACTAGAACGGCTGACCTTTAGTCAAACATTAAATGTAATGAGTGGACAGTAATGTGAAGCTTCAGTTTAGGAGATGTCGCCACGTGGGCTTGACGCAGAGAAGAGACAAACACATGCTTATACAAACACTTGAACTCTTATTGAAAATAAAGGAACTCATCCACTCATCATATCTATCATTCCACATATTTCATTATCATTTTGTTTAAAGGAGATCATTGATAGTGTGATTGTCCTGGAATCATATTGTCGGAACCTTAACATTTTTGTCTCTCGCCGGAAAATATCTCCCACGTTCACTACAGTTGGATTACCGTTCCTATTCCGGTAAAATCGTGCTGGATCCGTACTTGACGTTGCGAGAGTGGACCCGTCATCTGTTGAGTTCATTTTTTGGGGTCAACATATTTATATTTTAGTTTATTAAAATTTAACTACGTACAATTATTTATCAATAAATAGCTGCAAGAATCGAGCTCAATATTAAGAGCTTGTTTGAGCCTCATTAAAAGTTTAAGAATATATTTTGAAATAGTAGATTGATAGAAAATGTGTGATTGAAAAATAAGAATTTTTTTTTTATTTACGTGTAATATTTTTTTTATTAAAAAATATGTAATTGAAAAATAAAAATGTATTTTGAAAAAAAAAAAATAGAATCGAACAAATACGTAGAGGGGAGTAGGTGTAGAAAATGATGGAAACTTGTTAATTAATTAAAAAAAAAAAAAAAAGTTAGGCCTGGCCTTTCACATTCGTAAGTTGAACATGCTATAACTGCTGGCGTGGATTAAATTTTTTGTTTGACCCGTATTTTAAGGCTCAGAACTCGCACCTATGTTCTATAAAAATTACACTTATAATTTCAAAAATTACTGAAAAATCACTCGAGATTTATTTTGAATAATATATTCTTTGTTGTTATTATAATTCGAAAATAATCACGGCCCTTTTAGATGTTCAAGATTGTAGATTATAGATTAAAAATGGAAACAGTTGCACAACTATCAACCTTTAAACAAACTTGTGAATTTTTTCAAAACTTAGGTTGTATTAATTAAGCCCCTGTTTGGTCAAGATTAAAATCTAATTTTAATCCAAGTCAAAGTTAAACAATCAATATCAACTGCATCTTTCATGAGTTCTACAACTTTTTAACTACACATTTCAAAAACTTCTATCCCAATCTACTAAAAATCTAATTTTAATCTGCATCAAACACCCTCTAAATAAGTTAAGGTCTTAGGTCACAATAACATACAATTTATGATTACAATTATATATTAGTCACAATCACAAACGTCATAATCACAAATTATAAATTTTATAGGTTACAACTTATTTATCGATTGCAATTTATCAAATTAATTGATTACGACTAATTATTTGGTCATAAATATCAAATTTTATAGTTTAAAACTTATGATGTATCCATCACAAATTATAATATTAATTGATCACAATTTATTTCTCGATCACAAATTATCAAATTAATTATCTCAATTACCCAATTAAAATGGTCACAAATTACCATTCATCCCATCCACTCACTTCAGATCCACAAATCACCACCTTATCACCATCGCCTCCAAATGCACCATCACGACCACCACCACCACCTTTAACGAACCACAATCACCACCACTACAACCAATGTCACCTCACCACCCCTGTAATCGCACCACCATCGCCGCAAATCGCACCAATCATCATATCACCACATGTACCCAACACCATCACCACACTGCACCAGTTTCACCGTCGCACACACCCATACACCATCACCATAGATCGTACCAACCACCATCACCAACACTTGTATCCCACCCCAAATCGAGATCCACTATACCACCATCACCACATCGCACCAACACCATCACCGCATATACAACAACCCATCGCATGAAATTAGAAGAAAAGATAAACAAAAATGCGGTTGGAGGTGAGAACATGGAGAAAACAACCCACCGCACATACATCATCGTTGTAACAGTAGTAACGAGCACTGCTCTGCATGCACGAAAGGCAGAGAAGTGAAGCAGTAGCCACAGGATGAGGAGGACGGTGGGGAGATTTTAGGTGGAAATGGTTTTAGCGTTAGGGTAGGGTGAGGTGAGGTGGGGTTGGGTTGGGTTGGGTACACCTGATTTTTGAAAGAAAATACCATGTACCTAAAATTGTTGAAATGAGAAATGGAAAAGCAAGTGTGGGTGTAACTTCCTCTAATAAAATTGCAGGCCCATTCATTAGGGCAAGAAAGATATTTGCCATACAAAGCTCTGATTATCAAATTAATTGAAAGATTCTAACAGAAATAGTTTTCACGATGGAATGAATGGCTTGCAAGATTATAATCAAATAAAGAAAAAATTCCAACACTAAAAAACAAAACATGTTTACAAATTGAATTTAAAAAAAAGAAAACAGATTTTGATCCAAAAGATTAGAAGAATTATTTAAATATGTGAAAAAAAATCAATAACGTGACTGACTTAGTACCAAATAACGTAGTATTTTAACCTAATCTTAAATATTAGAAGAAGATGTGTTTTTGGTGCTACAATCAATTCCTTAGTTATCGGAAAACGCACAAGATATTAACCTACTTTCGTTAAAAATAGTATTATCTTTTATCTTGTACGTAATATTAAATCCTTATTGTAATCTTATCAAAATTTTGTAATCCGACTTGTTGGGTTTTGATATCAAATAAATTCGAACGATAATGTTAAAATTATTTTAAAACTGAAAAATCTTTCGAGTAAGTAAAGTTTGTTAGAGATAAACTAAGCAAGTACAAGTTCTCCAACATTTTTGAAGTTCTTTCATGGTTTTGAGTTGACCAACCTTTTGCAAAACAGTATCTGACTATTGAAGTATAAGCAAATTTGTCATATTCTACTTTTTGGTATTTGTGACAAATTAATAGAAAAATTGCTATATGTGACTTTTGAAATCTTTTATTGAATCAAAATTCTTCTTATTTTTTGTTGTCAAATTGAAAAGACTTATTTTTCATTAAAATCTTCAAATCAAAAAGGACCACAAAAATGCACAATTAAGAGCTTGTTTGGGAGGAATTAAAATCAGATTAAAATTGAAAATATAGCCGTTGGAGTTGACTTTTGTTAGACGAGTGAGATCCAATAACGACTATATTTTCAATTTTACTTAAATTTTAATCCTTCTCAAACAAGCTCTAAATCACAAAGTAGTCCTAATGTCGTTCTAAATTCGGCCCCTTAAGATTCATAATCTCAAGGGAATGAGTAAGCGGGTAAAATTCAAATGTTCTAACGGAATAATCAATGCACTACGTATAGGGCCGGACTTAAGGGGGTTCAGGGGGGCAAGTGTCCTCCAACTTTTGAGAATTTTTTTTTTATTATTTATAAAATCATGTTTGGTATCAATTGAAATCTAAATTTTAATTTAAATTAAAATTAACAATTATTTTATTAACATATTTCATGAAATTCATAACTGTTTAACTTTTATCAAAATTTACTAAAAAAATGATTTTAATATCCACCAAACATAGGCAAAATCACAATAAATTTAAATTTTGATAACATGCTAGTTTTTAAAATTATTCGACGATCGTACGCCA